TTCAGACCCTTTGCTCAGTATTTAGTAGAAGCACCCTTTTGATCTAATACAGCCATGAGTCATTTTGGGAAAGATGCAACAAGTTTTTCACACCTGGATTTGGGGATCCTCTGCCATTCCTCCTTGCAGATCCTCTCCAGTTCTGTCAGGTTGGATGGTAAACGTTGGTGGACAGCCATTTTTAGGTCTCGCCAGAGATGCTCAATTGGATTTAAGTCAGGGCTCTGGCTGGGCCATTCAAGAACAGTCACAGAGTTGTTGTGAAGCCACTCCTTCATTATTTTAGCTGTGTATATATATATATATATAGAGAGAGAGAGAGAGTTATGGTTAGGTTCAGAGGTAGGAGAGGGATTAGTGACTCAAAATATCTTTCTAATGCTATATTGTTTCTAAAATGGTAATTTCCCTGTGTATTTCGGTCTATTACGTTTTATATATTTTAATATTCGCTATAAAATGTGGGTTTAGGTTTGGGGGTATAAGGGGTCGAAAAATCTATATCGCATATCGATAAATTTATAAAACTGCGCTAATACAAATATCTTAATGATATAAAGGATTTGTAAATATTTTAAGTTTTTTGTTGTAAATACACAGCAATTTTATGTTTTAAACGTTGTAATACGTCCAAATTGTACGTTTCAGCATAAATCAAAGCGTATAAAAATGTACGTTTTGTGCTTGTAAACATTACCTACTAATACCTACATATAAACAATGAGACCAGGCTGGTTTTTGACCGTTTCCTAAAATATTTGTGTTTTCTCTTTATTATGACAGGTGGTCTAATGAATTTGTTAAGCACATACAGTGCTTAACAAATTTATTAGACTGTATTTATTATTTATTGACTTGGATTGGGTGGCGGTGGTTTAATAAATTTAAGCACTGTATCTTTCTCTCTCTGTAGGCCTATAAGGTTAATACTTTAACAATCCTTAACATTATTGTGATAACATTAAAGGGTAAAGCAAAATTAAAATTGATCGTACTGAAATATTAACTTTTGATGGGCCATAATGAACTTTCAACCATACAGTGTTTATAGTTTGAATTTGTCAGCTTGAGTCATGAGTTGCTCCAACAACTGCTAAAACACATGGCTGGGTTATGATGCACAACCATACACAATTTATGTAATCACATTGATGTAAGCCCTAACATTCTCCTCTTCTTGTGCATATAGGTCTATAGGCCAGATGAGGCAGCTCAACTAAAAATCCACATGCTCTATGAATCTAGGTCAACAGACACAAAGGGTTTGTTTAACTTGGAACAGCCAAAAGGAAACAGGATTCTCTTGTCATGCCTTTTATTCCACACATGCGCAAAAGCAGTTATTTTAAAGGGGTGGTTGACTTTTTTTTCTAGGCTTGATTGTGTTTATGGGGTGCAGTCTAACGTGTTAATGCTTTGGTTTTTAAAAAAATGCATTATTTTTCACATAATTTACCTTTATTCTACAACGCTCTGTCCCTTCTCCCATAAACGCTGATCATTTCCTGCTTTTATGAAGCCTCTCCCTCAGAAATACGTGATGGGCTCAGATTGGTTAGCTGGTCCAGAGTGTTGTGATTGGCTAAACCACCTCTAGTGCGCGTCTGAACGTCACGCCCCTCACCTCAGCGGCATGCGCTCCGGTTGTATTGTAAACAATGACATAGTCTATATTGCTTATCAGATTGAGCCCGATTGAGATGCAGAGGATATTAGTGAAGAGGATCCCGCAGAACCTGTGCAAGCACGGCTCTTAATAGTATGTTTTTTGATTGTTGTTGTCTCATACTTTTAGATACGCTGTTATTTGTAAATGCTACTGCTTATGTTAGCTTTTAATATACGGTTTTATTTAAAGCAACCGCACGCATGTACATGTATAACGCTTCTCATAGCTATGTGAAAATAAGTGTATAAATGGAACAGTTAATTGTTGGAGCTGAGCTGAATGAGAGAGAGAGAGAGAGATGCAGAGCAGGGGAATGCGAGGAACGGTATTGAGAACCGTTGCTTTAGAACATTGATTTTGAAACTTGTGAATCCATTAGAATCGTTAGAAGACAGAATCACGATTCATATATGAATAGATTTTTATGTGCACCCCTAGTTTTCTCTTCCTCTTCTCTAAAGCAGCGCAGCATGGCCTCGCCCCCTTCGCTGCATGTCCCCGGGGCGGGGTTTGTCTGGATTTGTGACGTCACAAACCCCGGAAGTAACTCGTTGTAGTCCCTACGTTTTGTAGGCATTAAACTGCCAGAATTTTAAAAGACGACATCTCCGTTTGCATTGAACTTTCAGCGCCGCAACTTTGCAGATATTGTTTATGCTCAAACAGCAACATTACACACTAACTGACATTAAAAAAGGGAAATCACAATCAACCACCCCTTTAATCATTTGTTATCCTCTACCGTCTGCCATCTTGTCCCTATTTTAACACCGTTTTAACTCTCTCTCTCTTTCCATCTGTCTGCTAAACTCTGGCTAACCCCAAACACTCCTGTTTAGGTAGGCTAAATGAATAAAGATTTCAAATAAAGAAAACTGCTGTATGCAGAACCCAAACTGAACTTCTTGTGACACTGGCCAATGGCATGTGAATTGCAAAAAATGTGCTGGCTATAAATTTGTTAAACTGTTCTTGAAACAATCCCTACGTTTTGTAGGCATTAAACTGCCAGAATTTTAAAAGACGACATCTCCGTTTGCATTGAACTTTCAGCGCCGCAACTTTGCAGATATTGTTTATGCTCAAACAACAACATTACACACTAACTGACATTAAAAAAAGGGAAATCTCAATCAACCACCCCTTTAATCATTTGTTATCCTCTACCGTCTGCCATCTTGTCCCTATTTTAACACCGTTTTAACTCTCTCTCTCTCTTTCCATCTGTCTGCTAAACTCTGGCTAACCCCAAACACTCCTGTTTAGGTAGGCTAAATGAATAAAGATTTCAAATAAAGAAAACTGCTGTATGCAGAACCCAAACTGAACTTCTTGTGACACTGGCCAATGGCATGTGAATTGCAAAAAATGTGCTGGCTATAAATTTGTTAAACTGTTCTTGAAACAATATTTTGTGTTATTTTTATTAAACAATAAAAACAAGAAATAGCCATTTTCCCATGACTCTTTAGCTTCCAAATTTAAAAAAGTTTCCTTTTTATAAATACTAAATATTATACATGAATTGTGACATTTACATCAGTGTGGTTTCTTCTTATTTATTTACATTCAGTGCTTGGCGGGTGTTAATTTTGGACCCTGGTTGTATGCCATGGTACCCAGTGCATCATAGACTCATACATGTTTTGAGGACACTGTCTGTACATGGTACTTAGCATAGCTTTTAGATCTTTGAACACAATGGTACCCTTACAGTGATAGCACTTTTGCAAATTGGCGAGAGCAAACGTGAGCTTATTGAGAAAGTGACTTGTGGCACAGTTCAAGCATAATGCTTTGTGTTGAATAAGAGCCTGTGAACGTAAAATGCAGCACATAACCATCTAATGTAAAATGTGTAATGGGTTATAGAAAGTTGATTCTTGATGCAGCCCCGCATATCTAATTTTAATACAAAAACTACACTGTCAGACTGTGCTAAACTCAAAAAGGGCAGTCGGATAAAAGCAGTAAGGCTTTTTATTTAGATATAATGACTAAATAATGGTACATGGGCCATTAGTCAATCATTACATCTAGAAAAAAATCAGGGCACACTTACCAAACACCATTAAATCTATTAATACAATAAAAAGACACTCTTCGAGTGAACGATGCATTCACTGGAAAAAAAAAAAGGATCAAGGACGGTCTGGATGAAACAGTGATGTATATCTTGCTGAACAGCAGGGGTCTCAAAACACATCTAAAGCAGCATAAAGTATAAATATAGACTCCAAACACATCTTATATTACAAATCAGTGTGTCACTTCCTGTTTCAGTTATTTCAAGGCTAAAGGCACAGTTTTATAAACCCATGAACCATTCAGCAAACTACTTGATATATCAATAAAGAGTGGAATTCAGCACAAACTGCTCAGTTTTATGTTGATGATTAAAATGCCCCGTAAAGCTCTGCAATGCAAACATGTAATAGCATTATCTTTCTACAGAATCCACATTGTCAAGTGAATTGATCCTTTGAGACCATCACCACTTTGCTTTGAGGAACAGACAGATGCATAGATGTCCTTGGCTTTAAGTTGGGAGGGAAGAGTGTTCAGGGAATTAATCAGAGCCAGAGCATTTGAACTAGCTAAGCTTCAGTCAAATAAATGGGCCACCTAAAACAACACCACCAATTACCACTGATTAAAATGAGGACACTTGGCTTCTGCTCCTTCTTGGCTCTTCAGTTTCAGACATGCAATGTCTCTGTGTTCCATTAGGCAAATGAGGAGAAGACTGCTCATGCAAAACCTACGGCAGTGAACCCTCACATCGAGGAAATGTTATTTGAAATGGTGCTCACGCTTCGTACAAAAGGTGAACACATCAGTGTCAGAAATTCTCTGCCTCCATCTTATGAATCCTATTTTCAACCTTGAAAAAAAGCCCACAGAGCCGAAACAAGCCTCTAATGAACTTCTGCAAAGTGCCACTTTTAACTAGCAGAGAAGGGACCTTAGACAGCTCTCAGGCTATGACAAAGCTGTCATTGTTAGCATGACTAAGAGCTTCATACAACAGCGAGAGTCCCAGAGAGGAGGGCAATGAGACACGAGTAGGAAAAAGGAGGCGGAAGAGCAGATCGAGAGAGAGAGATGGAGAAAGAGAGAGAGAGGAAAAGGTGAAGACAAAATGAGAGAGAAAGAGTGAGATTTACTGGCGGATTGTTCCAGAAGGATCATTCTAACAGAAAATGGGACATGGAATTGTCATCGGTCTGAAACCGCTGAGCCTCCCATCTGTAGTGATTCCATTTATTTCTCAAGCGAACACTAGGCTGACCCTTTTCCTCCATTGAAGAAACAGGAAGTGCTGTCATACCTGCAGTGTTTGTGTGGGCCGCTCAGGGTCTCGATGACAAAGCACTCCCCGTCATTCAGGCAATAGGCCAGGTCTTTCTCCTGACACGGCTTGAAATGCTCCGATTTCAAAGGCGGTAGAGTTGGTGATGCTGAAGGATAAAGAAGAAAAGAGGAGGAAAATTATTCCATGTAAAAGATTCGAAGGACAAATATCTGAGCCAGGTGAGCAAAAGGTTAGGTGAGTGAGTCAGAGGCGCCAAAAAGGTGACTAATTGTCATAATATGGGGGATAATGCAAATCTTCATTTGCAGATTTTGCAGATGAAGTTCAGTGCAAAATAATTTATTTATGTCATTTCAAACCTGTATGCCATTCTTCTGTGGAACACAAAAGATTATTTTTGTTTTGTTGTTTTGGGCCTCACTGACTTCCATTCTGACAAAAACAGTTGAAACAACTGAAATATATATTTTTTAAGTTATACAAAAGAAAGAAAGAAAAAAAGGTTTGGAATTACATGAGAGTGAGTAAAGGGTTAGTTCACCCAAAAATTTAAATTCTGTCATCATTTATCTAGAACATAACATACCAATCCTCTATTACATTTATATTGTATTTACTGTACTGTATGTTTTTATGCATGTATGTTTTTCAATATCACACCATCTACCAGCTTTCTGTATGGATTTCATCATTTTAAACACTGCGAAGATGTACAAGAGCTCTGAAGTCTTTTAGTAGAGTTTTTCATCACCATTAAAATCAATAGCTTTCAAAACGTCCCCTTCTACTCTACTTTATAATCTAAGACATCTCAACAGATGGCCACCAAAAAAAAAACACTTTCAAAGATCACCACATAACTACCAGATAATGCAAGAGACATCATCAATACCTCTCTGAAACAAGCAACCAAATGTCTCCGTATTACTCTGCTGAGTATAGCTTGTTATTAATTCTTGTACAGTGTGCATGAATTTGTTTTGCTCCTGATCCATTACTGAAAGATGATAAATGAGATCAATGAAGAAATCACAGTCTCTGACTTAGAATTAATAAAGAAGGCTACTATTTGGGGGGGAAAACACTTAATTGTGATTAATGATGCCAAGTTCACTTTGCAATGTCATTTCAAACCTGTATGCCATTCTTCTGTGGAACACAAAAGATTATTTTTGTTTTGTTGTTTTGGGCCTCACTGACTTCCATTCTGACAAAAACAGTTGAAACAACTGAAATATATATTTTTTAAGTTATACAAAAGAAAGAAAGAAAAAAAGGTTTGGAGTTACATGAGGGTGAGTAAAGGGTTAGTTCACCCAAAAATGAAAATTCTGTCATCATTTATCTAGAACATAACATACCAATCCTCTATTACATTTATATTGTATTTACTGTACTGTATGTTTTTATGCATGTATGTTTTTCAATATCACACCATCTACCAGCTTTCTGTATGGATTTCATCATTTTAAACACTGCGAAGATGTACAAGAGCTCTGAAGTCTTTTAGTAGAGTTTTTCATCACCATTAAAATCAATAGCTTTCAAAACGTCCCCTTCTACTGTACTTTATAATCTAAGACATCTCAACAGATGGCCACCAAAAAAAAAACACTTTCAAAGATCACCACATAACTACCAGATAATGCAAGAGACATCATCAATACCTCTCTGAAACAAGCAACCAAATGTCATATATATTTAAATAGCTATTTATATATTTAAAATATATACAAAATAGCTATTAATATGCGGGCATTGAAACTGTTTTCGAATGTACGATCGTTTTTTACTTTCACTTTCGAGATTTGCGATCACACGTGCTCTGTGTAAACTACAGCGGCAGTAATTAACACACATTTTACGAGATCAGATGCTTGTCAGTGGTGCTCAGGATCTGTAAATCATTCGCCATCATCCTCAGTCATCTCTCCTTACTCTGTTTATGTGGTAAGCAGAGGTGTAAAGAGTACCTAAAAACCATACTTGAGTAAAAATAAAGATACCTCACAGTGAAAATTACTCCACTACATGTTACAAGTCACCAATTCCAAAACAACTTGAGTAAAAGTCTTAAGAGTATCTGATTTTAACAGTACTTAAGTATTTTACTTGTACTAAATATAGGCTCAAAGATGAACTAGTCAAAGAGACATGCCAGTGAAAAACTGTAACGTTGTGGAGAAGCTGCAGAAAATAGGCAGAGGCAAGGATCTATGTGCAGGTATTTAATGGAAAAACTAGAACAAACAATAAGGCAAAAAAGAACAGAATGACAGGCAAACAGACACCCATTACATTCAACAACTCACAGGGAACTAAAGAAAAACTAGGGCTATACATACACACAGGGGGCTAACAAGCCTAACAAGATAAAAGACACCTGGGGAGACAAATCAAGGGGAACCAATGAACAAACAGACTACAAAAACGACGGGAGACAGGAAGTGACATAAAAGTCCAGGGCAAGGCACAGAGAGCATGAAACAAAAACAAGAAAGAGTTGATTTGTGAGGAGAGCAATCACGTTTATTTTCTAAAACCAAAACACAACTGAACACCTCAAAATTACAAAACAAAACAAACAATATCTTTCAAAAGGTCTCTTCAGTATAATGGATATTTTATTAGAACGCGCGTTATTTGTTTTCCGTGCCTTTCTGAATACAGACACCAACCCATCCCTGCACATCACATCCCCTGCACAGCCTGGAACATAACATTTATTTCCATGATCTGTCATTTTCACTATTATCCTCGCTTGTTTCTTCACAATACCTGCAGAACTTCTGATGATTCGGCTGTGCAGGTTCGGCTGGTAGCTGGCATAGAACATGGGCGGGTATATGCAAATGTTGGGGGCGTAACTATTAGTGATCCCGACTGTAACGTCACAGTCGGTGTTATGTTCTGATTCGCCTATTTTTCAGTGGTCTTTTGCATGCACGAGATTTATATAAGGAGGAGGAAACAATGCTGTTTGAGGCTCACGGTATGTCATTTCCACGTACAGAACTGTTATTACTCAACTATGCCAAGGTTAATACAGTTTTCCATTCTATGGCACCTTTAAAGTTGGATAAATATCCAGTTTTACCTACATACACATAGCAAACTCACGTAAAAGCAATATATACATTGCAAATCTCAGCTGTGTGGTTGTTAATACTGTTGCAAAATGTAAACTACTTTATCGCACAGATCTGTATGCAAAGTTGGCTATATATGGTGCATACAGTATACTCACATAAAGCATATCTGCTAAATGTGACTATAAAGACTGAAGAAACTAAGATACTACTAACATTAGCATCATGATTTTCTGTAAAGCTGCTTAGAAACAATGGGCCTCATTCATGAAACACGAGCAGAATAAATGTTTGTGTAATTCGTTCGTAAAGCTGTTCTGACGTAAATTTTCGGATTCATGAAAGTGTTCGTATTTTCAAAATGTTAGTTGGTACCAAAGAAATGTACACCTGCTCCCTGCCATGTGTAAATGGTGCGTACAACGTTCTGTGTTCTTTTTGGCAAACTGATGACACTGAATTTTGATGCACTGCCATCATAATATAGTACAAGTTTGTTTGCTCTTTTTTTTTGTAGCTGAGAGTTGATAAACTGTTTAGCTTTGGGTAAAATGCAATGCTTGTCACTGTCACTTTTTACCCAGCCGTCCAATCAGTGGACAAGAGGCGGGACAAATACTACACCGACCAATCATTCTACTTGTACAACAACAGAGAAGTTAACATTGCTGGTTACTGCATTTTTATATTTAGTAATATTCTTCAAAATGTACTGCCGTGGATTTTCCACATCATAGCAACCAAATCGACAGCTGGAAAAATGCTGCGCCACCAGCTGGTCGTTTTAAGAAGAGTGCCTGACATTTTTCAGCAGGCTAAAAACGCTTTGGTGGACACGCGTTATTGAATATTTATTGTTAGGCATATGGCCTATTAGTCTTTTTTGCATTTATGCAATATACAGGAGCCAAACCTGAGAAAGTAGACCAGAATATTCCACTGCGTTCCTGGACACGCAATTTGCATAGCTGTAATTATAGGCGGGGATTATGGTAATTGTGAATGAGAGTGCACGAGTGCCCTATTTACGAATGATTGGAATTCATTAACATACACATGTTTAACTATTAAATCGGACTTTTACGAAGCATTTGTGAATCCGGAGGAGAGCTTTCGGGAAGGTCCATTTTACATGCAAATTATTAAGAATTTACTCCTATATTTACGAATGTTTCATGAATGAGACCCAATGTGTACTATAAAAAGTGCTATACAAATAAAATCGACTTGCCTTGTTTCTTTGCACAAACATTCAAACTACCCTTGTTGTAACGGGGCTGATGAGACGTGAGACGTGTGGATCCATCTGCAAGCTTTTATTTAAGAGACGTGGTCGTAACAGGCAGGGTCAAACAATGGCAAACAGGTATATGGCGGGCAAAACACAAGAATAGTCCTAGGGCTAGCGTAGGTCAACGATCGGCAGACAGAATCACAGGGGCGAGACTAGAGGGATAAATCCAGGAAAACAGGCAAAGATCAGGACACGAGGAAACAGACAAGGCAAGACTAAGATAAGGCTATGGACAAACTAGACAGGCGCCGTAGAGCAGCTATCGCTATGAGAGTGATAAACGCTATACAATACTCGGCAGAGGGAAGGGATCAGAGTGAGTGTTATATAGGGAAGATGTGATTGATGACAGCTGTGTGCAATCAGTGCTGTGCGCAATCAACTGTGTGTGTGTAATCAGTGCAATGGATGATGGGAACTGTAGTCCGGGTGAAGCACAACAGTGGTGTGGTGCAAGAGTCCATAGTAGTGAAAGGGTGACCTCTGGTGGCAAGCAGACAGAAGTTCATGGACCGAATTCGTGACACTTGTATGTGCCAAATTATTATTATTACAAGTTGTCATGATCAATTACACAATTAATTACATATATCAATATTTGGTAAGAAAAGCCCCCAGTTACAAATAATGACTGCATAGTAGGAAAAAAAACATCAACACTACAGCTTGAATTGCTTATGGAATTTATGTATGGGTCGTAACATGCAAATAATTAATGAATTAAAAAAGTTCACATTAATTTTGCACGATTCTTTTGCAGTC